TCGGTACTCGGTAACATTGATAGAGAGTACAGTTAGCGTAGACATTTGTAATCGTTGAACGCGTAACAAAATTTCTCGTTCCTTCGTCGAGACGATGTGAACAGTTATTTCGTTTAGCGGTTTCAAAGACGACTCTGCGCGGTTATTACAATTACGATCATGATTTTTTTCTTTTTCTTTCTTTTTTGTGGCACTGCGAAGGAAGCTTTGTTCGACCCGTGTCGCGCCTCTGTCCAGTATGCTCGACACAACGAAACAGTGGAGTTTTCATTCGAAACGTGCGCTCTGAATGTAAAAATACGTCGACGGTTGGGTTTCGTCGAGTCGAGCAACCGGTTCACGGTTTTAGTCTAACATTGCTCGAGGCTTTCAGATTTCGGGGAAGAGTGAGCCATGGTGTCTTTGCCACAAAGTACGTCCCTGACCGCCCTGCTGCCGCCCCCAGGTAACCCCCAATGACCATCTCCTGCCCCATCGTTCAAGCTGTGCTCGGTGGTTCGATTGCTCGCAAGACAGTATGTACTCGAGAATGCAGAAAGCGCAAGTCTGATCGCAAATCGAGCACACTTGTTAATTCTCTCGTAATACGTTGTTGTTTTTTCTAGAGTAACGCATAGAATCTGATCACTGTAAAGCGTTCGTTACTATATTATGGCGAAGATTCATCTGTTGCAGGAAGTTGGAAAGAATACTTCTGATAACAGAATTTTTTATTCGGTATCTCTTTTTTTCAATTTACGTTTACGTTCACAAAGTATTCTTCCATGGCTTCCTACTGCGGTGATACGAAAAGTTGTAACGACATGACGTTTCAGATTCCACGCTTTGTTAGTGTACACGTAGTAAGCAAGATTGCTTCTTCTATTGAAATACACGGCCTTTCGTCAGATGTCGATTAGTTTTGCTGGACGTCGAAAGCGAACCTCGAGAAGCGTTACGTTCTACAGCACGCTGCGTCAGTGAAAAAGTAAAATTGTTTGAAAAACAAAAAACGCCGTTGTATGATGCGTTCTCGGTGATTCTTTTCAGAGATCGAAGTTAACGAGACTGCGTAAGTGGAAGCATGGTCTTTAAATGTTCCGCGCTAAGAGGCGTTTAAAATTGATTATTGTCGTTGTACCAACTTTCCTATATATGGAAGAACGAGTTTTCCTTTCTTTTCGTTTCTACACAGAATTACTAAATACGCAGGACTTTCGAGATCGAAGAAAGTCAGTGCAAAGATCGAGGAGAGACATTGGTTTAATGACGAAACGTGCTGAGTTTTTCAAGCTTTGCTTTGCTATCACTCGAACATGCCTTTTAAATCTTCACGACCTCGAAGCAGTAGCGAAATGTATCCATGGAAGCTCGCACAATGTCGTAAACGAAAGGACTAGTTACATTGATTATTGCTTCGACAAAATGGGCTTAAAAGTTGAAGCAGCGCAAAGCTCTCTTTTTCACGGGTGTTCCAGTCATTCCATGTTGTTCCAGTCATTCTATGTTGTTCTTGTTCGCATCGGACGTCGATTGTTCTGATATGGCTTCTATTATTGCCATTGTAAACGTTGGAATGTCATCGTGCTGCTTAAGAATCTCTGGATCGCTTCTTTTATAATCATTCGTCGCAAAAACAATGTACACAGATTCGTCGAGAGATTCCGGTTGCACACGATGAAACTCGAGTGGTGGGAAAAGGTGCACGCAATATTTGTTCGTTTCAAGTGACGTTAATTCGTGTTTGGTTCAGTCATAGATGTCATGCTCAGAGCAATTACGATTTAAACGTACGCGTCGATTTTTTTACACAATTTATCATCGACAAAGTCAAATCTTGTTCGTTCATCGAAGATTTGTATCGTCTTATCTCGAAGGGAAGCGAAAATTGTCGAATAGCAAGATTTCTCTTATTGCGACCATAGTCGTTGGATATTTTCCATAGTTTTCGTAACTTGACGCGTATGTTTCGGTGCAGAAGCGTGCCTAAATTCATTTCTCAACTACCCTGGTTTCTCTCTTACGTTCCCACGGTAGTAGTTTACGCGAAGCAATTCTGGTAATTGCTTCTCGAACGCGATTCACCTCGAGCGAAAAATGCTCGGAGACATAAATTTTCTATATATTGAGCAACGCATAAACGTGTACTGTGGCTAATCGCTGGAATATAGCTTGTGCTCGAAGCAGTTTTACGATTGAGAAACGTACACGTCGATAATCTAACGATCCTTTTCTTTCAAAGGTCACCTACTTTAGATACAAATTCAACGTACTTGTAAGAAATTACGCGGTCAACTTATCATCTAAATACTTCTTATTTAATCAGGAGACCAGTGAAATTGGCCCTGTAGCACCGGTAGATTATTTCCTTTTCGTCAATTAAACTTCCACTGAACGTTACATTCGATCATTCGTCCTGCCTCACCTTTCAGAAGAGCGATGGTTTTATTTTTAATCGACTTTAAGCATTTGTGCTCCATCAGAGATTGTAATTTAGAGCAGATTGTGTACTTGAAGAAAAGAAGAGAGCACTCTGAGAAAACGTTGTTCTTTCGAAGGGATTTGCCAAAGAAATCACTTTAGAACGAAAGCGTAAACTTTTGGATACAGTAGGATCCTCTGAATTCGACGTAAACCAAATTTTCTCTTCAACGACCGAGACAACAAGTGTTTGTTCTTTCAAAGAAATCAAAGCCAAATTAGTTACCTTATCAGTGTCGAATCGTTTCATTCAGATTTCTACTGTAGATTATTCGCCGATTAGTAGGGACTCATATTTTCTCCCAATTTTTACCGCAGAAATTTAAGAACCGTACGAACGAGTTGGCGGGGAATCCCCTCGAAAAAGCTCGAGATTCCATTCAACGAGCTCCGTTGGATCTCTCGGGAAGTCCGTATGGAGCTCGACGTGTACGTTTCGCTGGGGCAGGTGAGGGTTTCTCCTAGAAAAGCAGAAAGGAAACCCGAGTGCGGCGAGCGTCCCCCTTGGCCCGTCGGGCCATCCCAAACTGTCAGACGGACGGGTCGCTGCCGGGGGCGGAGCCCGTCTTGCTACCGTCGACACCAGCACCGCCACCGTCGCCGTCGGCACCTGCACCCTCTCCGCCCCTGTACGGCGAGCCGCCGGCCCCACGCGCCGACAGACCTCGGAAATCCAGGTTGTACTGAAAAACAGGTGCAAAACGGCAGATTATCAAGTGTACTTTCTCCTTCTCCTCCGATACTTTCCGATCAGAGATGGAGATGAGCTTTGCTGATACATCGAACGAGAAATATTTTGCTAATTTTCTTTATTTAGAACACTTTTTGGTCCGTAGGCGATAAGATTTATCGTGGTATTTTTTTTTTTTGAAATTATTAACACTAACCGTGCCACGTCTAAAATTTTATACGTAATTTTCTTTTTATTACTGTCTAAAGGCTATTTTAAGTGTAGAAAAATAGAATCTTTATTTTGTAATTTTATACGGTAAGAATAGGTGTACGTAAAGTGCCGGTACGGTTAGTGTTAACAATGCTATAGTTGGAGTAGTGAATAATCAATGCAGTATTTTTCGAGTCTCAGGAAAGTTTACCTTGTAAATATGATATATCTGGTAAATTACTTAGTAAAAATGTGGATAAATATTTCTATCTTTATTCGTAATTCCTTCTCGTTCGTAGTTTCTCCCACAGTTTCACTACTTTACTTTAATTATATGCATGAATATGTGTCAGACTATATCTCGAATAGGAACTTTGAAGCCTTATATCTCAGGAATTAATCGAAACATGAATTCCAAAGGAAATGTATCTGGACATTTCTTTCAATTTTCTAACGTCTTCGACGATGATTTAATTGGTACTTAAATTCATCGTCGAATAATAGCAATTTAGTCTCAAAATATCCTCGTCCGACGTATCAATCCTCTATTTAAGGATTATTCTAGTCTTTTTAGTTGCAAATGAGTTCCTTTAAAAGCATCGTAACTGTTAATGATGCTTCGATCATGAAGGATGAATATTATTGTTGTTTTATTATATGAAAATACTTGAACTCAAAATCCAAACGTTATAGCAAATTGTTATTCTAACGGTTGGTATTTAAGGAAATCATGTATATTATTTTGGTACACTAAAAATAAGCGTTATTTCTTGCGGTTCTCAACTCAAGTGTCAGGTGGTCTGACATTAATTGAAAAAAAGAAGAAAAAAAAAAACAATAAATTCTGTTACGAAACACTGCATTGCGTCCATTCCTGCAAAAAGATAGCTGAAAACAGTAAACTAGATTGATTAGCTGTTCCTCTTCGTGCTGCGGATTGTGTTGAATAATTGTTATTATGTACCTTGTTAATCGAAGCAAGGCCGTTCATACTCAACCATAAAAATTATTACAAAAGTTACAGTAGGAAAAAGAAAATCGAAGCTACAGCGTTGCATTAATAGAATAACAAAGCCTACGCGTAAAATGCACCCTAAAAGAGAACCGGTGAATGAAAAAGGAAAACACGTAAAGTACAACATCGAACGCGAATGATCGAATCACCCGATTGATCGAACTGAATAAATCAAATTTCATTCCTTCGAACCGTGTTCGTCTAAACACCGAAAAATAATCCTCCGGATTAAAATCGTTGCGTTCAATTTCAGGCGAATTTACCCGAAGAAAAATTCAATTTGCATATTTCGCGGAAGACTAAATTCGACAAAATTACGATCGCCTCGATTTCACCGTACCCGTCAAACTCGATTAACCTACTTTCCAAACAGTATCCGAACACCGAAGCTTACAATCAGCCAGAGGTGGAAAAGTCAGTCGGATCGATGGTAACTCGATCATTGCGCGGTGAATCGCTGTGCAAAACGCATGAGAAAGCAACGTAAAAAAAGAAAAGCGGCAAGAACGAAAAAGAAAACGAAAAGTGGAAACCAAGGTCGAACCTGTGCAACAGAAAGGACAGCGTTTCGGCGTGTCCGCGTAGCAATGGTGGCTGCACGCGTGAACACATGCGACCTTCGCGGTGCAACGAAAGTCTGTGTTATCTCGGCATTGTGGCGTGTCTTAGGTGCTGCAGCTGTGCCTGATACAGCTGCAGCTGCAGCAGCTGTAGATTCTGCAGGCAATAAGGTGCCTGTGGTCCGCAACCGGACGTTGTGCCGGTCGTCGAGTACGGGAGGACCGATGGATGAACGAAGGATGCAGAATTACGTGAAACGCTTGTGCTGCTGGTTGTGGTAGCGGTGTTCGGTAGGGTGTTGTAATTGAAGGGAGGGAAGTTTAGATTAGGACCTCTTAAAATACTGTGTAACTGGGAGGACGTCAATGGATGGGGTTGCACGTAGGGACTAGTAGATGGTAGCAATTGCGGACTAACTGGGTACAAGCAATCCTCTTCGGCTAGACCAGGCACCGTTGTCGGACTGACCTCCACGTACTGCGGCATCGTGATATTGTTCTATTCGATGGATACATGGAAGGACATGTATAACACTTTAGGCGTGATGTGACTGCGTCGCAACCTGTATGGCTCACCTGTGCGAATATTTCTCGTGTTTCGCGTGTCATTTCAACGATGCAAGGTGTGAAAGTGGCAAGTGGAAATGGGGAATAGTGTGAGTTTCTTTGTTAATTTGAATACGAGTGGACCAACACTGGTCACCTAATTATCTTTTCTAGCTGCGGTGGTAGGAGAAAACTTTTAAATGTAATTTAAATGGTTTCAATGGGAGACAAATTTCTTTTTCTACCGTGTATCGTAGCAGACAAATTGATGTGCATTTAAGCATGCATAATAATATGACATTGGAATCTAAAATTTGAACTTAAACGTGAAACTTTCTTTCATTTTTCAAATATAGTTGTTGTTATTTGACGTAATAGGTAGAATGTGGGACATGGATAATTGAATGTATGATTTGACCTTACGATAACAAAATATTCGCACAGAACTAAGTTTCGTGATTTTAAAGTATTACATACAGCTACACATTTACGTAAAAATTGAAACGTATCTTTTGCTAACACAAAACTAGCTACAATAAAAAATACCGTTCAGTCTTTCCTCCTTCATTTGGCCAAATTCATTCGAAATACCCAATTGAACAAAATATACTCGGATGTAACATAACATCACTAATCGTTGGAATCTACGTTTTCAAATGTACACAGCAAAACAACAAAGACTGAACATCGTTTTTTCTTTCTCTTTCTCCTCGAGCGAACAAAAACAAAAGTGAAAAATACTGAACAAAAGGCAAAAGTATAACGTGAATAAAACAGTAATCTGCGTAGTTTTGATACTTAGATTCACTAGGTGTGTGTTTCGTACAAAATCGAATTAACAACGCGTGTACGTATCTTACCTTTGTGGCGCAGACGAAGCACGTGGTGACCACTTTCGAAATCACGTTCATTAAATTTTTTGTCTCTTGTATCACGTTATCAACTTTCGTGAAAGTGGCTGCCTTTCCAACGGTGGGATTCTTCACGGTGAATTGTAGCTGCTGCACATAAGTCGGCACGCGGTCCAGATTTTCCAACAGTTCTTTCTTATGCGAGCCCCCTGGTACCTGCGCCCATGCAACATCGTATACAAAACTTACGTCTTCATTCGTGTCGCAAGGCAAACGTGCACGTGAATTGTTCTGCAACGATTCGACAAAATTCACGAAAAGTAGGAGTTTCACGAATATTTTTCAAACATGAAATTAAGAAATTTCTTCTTTTTCTTTTTGAATTTTTGCACCCGTAATATTCGTACTGCGATAAGAAATTTGGTGTTAATTGGAATTGTTACTATGATCTTTGTACGCAAGAAATATCTTCGTTTATTTACTTAGGAAACTTTAATTACATTACTGAAACTATATTGTTATTAATAAGGGAAATTCGGAAACTTTGTAGAAATGTAGTTCAATTGACGCTAAAATTGTAATTATTCTTTATTTCGGCAACGAAACGGTTCTAAGGGTGAAAACACCTCCTGGAAAAAAATTGTGTAAACGTCTGATTGATCATGAAAGAATCGTTGAAAATCACCAATCACATTTGCCCTGCGAAATCATCGTTATACGTATGTTGCGTATTTGAATAATTCTTTCAAGCAATGCCTGATTCTATTCTTGATTGATCGGCTAGTAATAAATACTTTGAAATACGTATATCTTGGGTACTTATAAAAATTGCATCTAGTTAAGTTAACAAAAAGATCTTCTATCCGTCCTAATAGAACACAATGCAAAAGTTTAAACGGAAAGTGTAATTTGTTTGAGAAGAACATCAGAGAGTGACGTTGTGTGAATGACAGTGAAATAGTACAGACCTTGTTGTTTTTGCAAGCTTCTCAAATGTCGATTAACTTAAACCTTTTAGATCAAATGAAATTAGCTTTTTCTCAAGTAACAGCAGCGAAGATGAACTTAAAACAAATAATTCGTAAAAACAAAAGAACGAAGAATTTTATCTCACGTATTTTAAAAAATTTTTGAAGTTTCAACGATTCACTTTCAAATTAAAAGGAAGCTACCACATTCAAATAAATTATATTTTCAAAGGTTCAAATCATTTTCAAATAATTTTAAAAGTATACCATGTATTATCTTTAGTATTTTCATAGGAAAGACAGATTTTTTTCTCCAACGAATCGCGCGAAAATGTGATGAAATTTCATTTTAGCTGCATTTCAACAATAAAGTGTGAACAGATACAATCAGAAGCTGGCAAAAACTGAGACATAATAGTCATGCCCCAGATAGTGGAAGGAGGGGGACCACAATGCACATAGACGTCGTCCACAGACGGAAGCATTCCCGTAGCATCTAAAACACACCTTACTAATCGTACACAAAAAAGTCAATGTAAATGTAGGTACACAAAATAGATTTACCAACAAAATAATGATCGTAGTTGATTTGGTGGTGTGAGACGTGAGAGATCAAACGGTTTTGTCTAATTTGTTCAAAATGAGAAAAATCACGTTCCTGTAAAACTTATGTAACTAATTATGAATGCATTCAAAGATTTTCTCTTAATTTACATTTTTTTTTTTCAACGAACCTTCAAACAACATACGAGAAATATTTGTAAATCTGAATGCCAGTCATTTATTTTTCGCTGTTAAAATTTCAATATTCTTCGTCATTTCAAATTTCCCATCGTGATGAAACTTGACATAAGAAGAATACCTCGCAAACGTGAATTAAATAAATTATCCCAACGCTTCTATGCAACACAAATCATAAACATAAATGTAAACGCATAAATTACAAAAAAAAACAAAAAAAAAAACAAAACAAAAACACAATCTTAAATTTAAATGAATCCATATTATCTTTCCAGTTTAATAAGGCAATTATACATATATAGGTCTTAAAGTCTATTCTTAATCGTTCGATTACCTAATGAAAATTACTTTACTGCCATTATGAGTCGCTATGGAAATGAATCGTTGTTCCCTTTATCCAAACGTGTTTCTGCAATTCTTTTCTTTCTTTCTTTCTTTTTTTTTTCTCTCTCGATGAAAAGGAAAAAGTGGTACAATTACACTACGTCATTCAAAAGAAACGATTGTTCAGGATGATCATACCAGGTGTCACAGTCTTGCATAGCACAGTAGTATGTTGCGTATAAGTAAGTACATAATGTAACAATAAAAAGGAATGTGTAGTGATATAAAGAGAAAACGACAACACTTAACAGCAATTGGTACAATGAGTACGCAAGAAAAAACGAGCGGTATATGCACGGCAATGAGAACGATCTGTACAAGGCGAACGGTGATCTCTATTAGCCCAACAAGGGTCTAAAGTAAAGAGAGAAAGAGTTACCTGGATGGAGGCATTCAAAGAGCGAGGGTCAATAAAGGGTTTCATAATACAAGAATATATTACAAGGTTAGCGTTCTTTTTTTGTTTTTTTTTTTTTTGTTGATTCTTTTCAAGAAGAGTATAGAGAGATCAAAATGGTTTCAGGTAACTATATATATTCGGCCTAGCTAGGAGGGTCGAAAGGGCAGCAAACGTGTTAATTGGAACATGTCTAATGCTAATAACTCGCGTCAGAGCTACTTCGAATCCATTGGTAATATTTACAGCGACGAATAAAACAACGTTCCATCATTCCGTTTACTCGATTCGTTTCTTGAAATATCGGTGAAATAAAAATGAATTAAAACCATTATCTCACGTATTTTAAAAAATTTTTGAAGTTTCAACGATTCACTTTCAAATTAAAAGGAAGCTACCACATTCAAATAAATTATATTTTCAAAGGTTCAAATCATTTTCAAATAATTTTAAAAGTATACCATGTATTATCTTTAGTATTTTCATAGGAAAGACAGATTTTTTTCTCCAACGAATCGCGCGAAAATGTGATGAAATTTCATTTTAGCTGCATTTCAACAATAAAGTGTGAACAGATACAATCAGAAGCTGGCAAAAACTGAGACATAATAGTCATGCCCCAGATAGTGGAAGGAGGGGGACCACAATGCACATAGACGTCGTCCACAGACGGAAGCATTCCCGTAGCATCTAAAACACACCTTACTAATCGTACACAAAAAAGTCAATGTAAATGTAGGTACACAAAATAGATTTACCAACAAAATAATGATCGTAGTTGATTTGGTGGTGTGAGACGTGAGAGATCAAACGGTTTTGTCTAATTTGTTCAAAATGAGAAAAATCACGTTCCTGTAAAACTTATGTAACTAATTATGAATGCATTCAAAGATTTTCTCTTAATTTACATTTTTTTTTTTCAACGAACCTTCAAACAACATACGAGAAATATTTGTAAATCTGAATGCCAGTCATTTATTTTTCGCTGTTAAAATTTCAATATTCTTCGTCATTTCAAATTTCCCATCGTGATGAAACTTGACATAAGAAGAATACCTCGCAAACGTGAATTAAATAAATTATCCCAACGCTTCTATGCAACACAAATCATAAACATAAATGTAAACGCATAAATTACAAAAAAAAACAAAAAAAAAAACAAAACAAAAACACAATCTTAAATTTAAATGAATCCATATTATCTTTCCAGTTTAATAAGGCAATTATACATATATAGGTCTTAAAGTCTATTCTTAATCGTTCGATTACCTAATGAAAATTACTTTACTGCCATTATGAGTCGCTATGGAAATGAATCGTTGTTCCCTTTATCCAAACGTGTTTCTGCAATTCTTTTCTTTCTTTCTTTCTTTTTTTTTTCTCTCTCGATGAAAAGGAAAAAGTGGTACAATTACACTACGTCATTCAAAAGAAACGATTGTTCAGGATGATCATACCAGGTGTCACAGTCTTGCATAGCACAGTAGTATGTTGCGTATAAGTAAGTACATAATGTAACAATAAAAAGGAATGTGTAGTGATATAAAGAGAAAACGACAACACTTAACAGCAATTGGTACAATGAGTACGCAAGAAAAAACGAGCGGTATATGCACGGCAATGAGAACGATCTGTACAAGGCGAACGGTGATCTCTATTAGCCCAACAAGGGTCTAAAGTAAAGAGAGAAAGAGTTACCTGGATGGAGGCATTCAAAGAGCGAGGGTCAATAAAGGGTTTCATAATACAAGAATATATTACAAGGTTAGCGTTCTTTTTTTGTTTTTTTTTTTTTTGTTGATTCTTTTCAAGAAGAGTATAGAGAGATCAAAATGGTTTCAGGTAACTATATATATTCGGCCTAGCTAGGAGGGTCGAAAGGGCAGCAAACGTGTTAATTGGAACATGTCTAATGCTAATAACTCGCGTCAGAGCTACTTCGAATCCATTGGTAATATTTACAGCGACGAATAAAACAACGTTCCATCATTCCGTTTACTCGATTCGTTTCTTGAAATATCGGTGAAATAAAAATGAATTAAAACCAAATGTTAAATTGCTCGTGTTACGCGATATGAAAATACTTCATTGAAAAGATAACGTCATGAGAGAGGGAGACAGAAACGTGTGAATATAATCATTAAACAAAAAAAAAAAAAAGAAAAAGAAAAAGAAATAAAGGATACGCGAGATTTGGATTTGACGTAACTCTGGCGTAGCAAATACGTAAAAACGAAACTCAACAGCGAAATTCAAGTAAAAATATTTCCAATATAGCAAGAATTAAAAACTCGGAATCAAGTCCAGTATAGAATCCGTAATAATAATAGTAATGATAATAATAGTAGTAATAATAATAATAATAATAAGAATAATGATAATAATAAACAATGATAAAAAGAGTAATGACCATAAAAATAAGGGCGATGTACGTGTATACGTATGTACGTATAGGCATCCCTGTACATACATACACGTATATACATAGCATCTCAACATCAGTCCAATTAAAAAGTGTGTATCACTTTGCTTTCAATCTACGCTGCCTTAGTAACTGATACATACCTGATAGCTAAATTGTCTCACAACCTTGTACAATCTGTTCGCCTCCTCGGCGAAATACTCAGCTTGGGTGAACAGATCTTGGGTGGTCTTTAACGCTCCTTCACCCCTTGTGAACTGGTACATCGAAAACGCCATCGAGGACATGTTCTTAGCCCGTTTCACGATGTCGTTGTTCTCCTCTAGGGCGCTTCCGCTCTCCTGCCACTTTTCCGTTTCCGCGTCCATCTCCGATGTGATCAGCTTCATTTCGAGGCCGGCCTTTGCTATCTTTGCCTGCTCCTCGCTATCCAATTTCACCGGCTTCAACGGCTTGCTTGTTGTACCGTGTTTCTGGAATTATTGGAAATTAACTTCGTCCCGGAGTAGGGGAAACATATTTTTCGAATTCTTTTTTTTGGAGGGGGGAAATACAGTAAATCTTCCACAAGTGTCAGACCGCAAGGAAGCTAAACCTGACACTCGTAGAGTCAGGGACTACGTTTTCGAGCCTCACGCCCGTCTTTGTAGTTTGCCGAACGTAGACAAGGACAGTGAATAAAAGATCGAGGCAACTAAGCGATATAAATATCAACTTTCTTAATTTTACGTTTATTTATCCCGAAATGTTTCTTAAAATATTGATGAGATTTTTGTGATGAAAATGATATCAAACACGACATAATTTGAATAACATTTACTTATTAACACGTTTACTGTCACGCCAGATTTACAGATTGCTGTCAGGCGGCTACAAGAAAATACATTTTAAGCATAGGATTATAGTATTATTCT